GAATGAGAGGTAGGCTTCCCATACCAAGGAGTTTGGCGAAATGAACGCCCATACACATCACATATTTCTGCATGTTGGGATGCAGCCGAAGAAGATGATGCAACTGAAGAATTGTCTCTACTAAGCTCATTAGTTGGACAAATTCTTTGACGAACGCCTAAATTGCGCTGTCGATAAGTGGCAGCCCGCCACCTTTTTTCCAGGTTCCCACAAGCCTTGTGTCGAGCTGTTTGGTCAGCGTGAATCACTGATTCATTTTCATCGTTAATAGAATGACTATCGTCACTTTGATCGGAACTTAGAGAAAGTATTGATTCTGTGGCCTGTAGGCGTTTTCGTTTAACTGACAAGCCGTGACGCCTAGTAATGTCAAGCGAAACAGTCATCCTTTTGTTAGGAGATGAAACAGAATGAACCTTTTTAGGTGAGATGATAAGATGGCTTCTAGACACTTTAGGGCAAACATCATTTTCTTCTGCATCAGGTTTAGAGTTATCACCACTTTCAATGGACAATTGGGAATCAACTTTCTCAACTTCATCGGCCGAGTTCCCAGCGCCATCTCGGCGCCGCACCACCTTACGTTTGTCCAGCTTGCTTTGCACAGCTAAAGTCCTCGCTATAGCTACAGTGCGTGGTTTCTCGCCTAAAGAGGAGCTCATATTAAGAATTTGACGCTTTTTAAATCCATCTGACTTTACGTTAGTGGATGCTACAGAACCAGAATTGGACTGGCGACTCTGTTCGGCATAACAAAACTTCCAATCAATATGGTGGCGAATATCTGGGCGTCTACGCGTCCTAGATCGAATCCCATTAGCTGGATAGTCGACAGGAGAGGAAGAGCGCGATGAACTTGCTTTAATACGTACGTTGATCGTCCGATCTCTGCGAGCCACATCAAATGAAGAAAGCTGAGGATTCGACTTGACATCGGCAGATGGATCAAAAGATGTGTCAGCAATAAATTCAAGACCAACAGAAGTATTTGATTGTTGAAGGGATTTTGCCAAACTTAGTTTTTTAGCTGCAGTAAGACGGGCCGCAGAGACGCCGTGTGTACGCAATGAATCATTACGATAATAGCATTTTGTGCGAGTTACTAATAAGCTTGACGGGTTAGTCGCATGGGGCGATATCATATCAGAATATCTCCTGGGTCTTGGATTTGGTCTAAGACGCCCCATAACACTGCGACTTAACTGCTTGGTTTTATCTTCGCGGCGCTTCCTCCAGACTTCACAAACAGAAGGGCGCAACAAGCCAGCTGAAGCCAAGAATTCATCCTTACATCCAAGTTCACGATTGATATCACCATTGCACCAAAGTTGTTCAGTAGTCAAATTTATGAGCGAATTTTCATATTGAATCTCCATATTATCATCAGACGTGTATAAATTGTGGGTATTCGATAAGCAACGCTTTGTTGGAGTAGGAACCTTTCCTGTAAGATTTAATTCGGCCAAGATTTCCTGGAGAACCTCGTCTGTTGTCCCAAATCTAGAGGTAGTGATACATTTATCTCTACTAAATTCATAATTCAAATCAATGACGTCGACAGAAGATTCGATAGGACAATCGAACACCCACATACCATGATCAATGTCAAGAGTTCTGCGAGTATGTGCGTCCGCAGGTCTTGATGAGATGTTTTTCATCGGCAAATAATTAGGCTTTTTGATATTATCAGCCATATATGGAAAGGAAAGAAACCCATTAGCTAATTCACATCCATTATGAGCACTCATTGGCAACTGAACGACTGGCGGAACAGCACTTTTGGGAGCAGCATAAGGAGTAGTACCTAGAGAACAAGCAAGAGCTTTAATTTTGGATGAGGATCCGTCAGTTGAGGGCTGGGAATCTTCGGAAACTTTAGCAATGAGGGCCGAGCCGGAATTATCGGATTTGTGGTTAGCAGGATCTTTACCATCATCCTCGGCAAATGAAGTGATTTTGCATCGCAAGCCATACTTCCGTTTTTCAGGAGAAAGGTTCAAGGATACAGTTCTGTCAGAATCTTCGGAAGTGCTTCGAGAACCACTGCAGAGGTTGCTCTTAGTAGCACGTCGGCCTCTACCAGAAATTCCAGCTCTATCCGCAAGAGCCCTAGTTTTTTCGCTTCGTAATAAACCGATGGATTTCTCGTTTTTTAATGCGCCATCATTTTTTTGGATGGAATCACCTCCACCGCTAGTCGGCTTAGCCTGACCAATAACTCGTTGAGATTTTCTTTGAGAATATGAAACAGCATCAGGTTTGCGTTTTTTGGATCGATTGAGGTTATCACATTTACCAGATTTGCTTCTAGGGAGCAGCCCCAAGCAAGCGATTGTGGTTTTTTGTCCCCTGAACCTGAAAGTCGTGGAGGCAAAACTAATATATTGGGAACTAAGCTGGATAAAAATGACTTGTACAGTAAACATTTGATTGATAAACATACAACATTCATAAAGAGTAAACAACTTGGCGAGTATAAGCAATCAAATTGCAACGAAAATGTAGAAATTTTAAGACATACCGTGTCCTCATCGCTTGCGAAAAAAGAATGTCTGAAAAGATAAAAGGCATACATAAGGCATCCAAAGTATGTAAATAAAATTAAACGCGACAAACCAATAGGAGTTATAGTAAAGTTAAAACAAAATAAAATACACCAAAATACTGTAAGACTCGGGAGGGGTTCGCAAATTGCAATAAGAGACACTGGTGAACAAGAATACAAATGCCATTGCAAATCATGGTAAATTTAATGAACTTCACTGAATAATGGAATATGAACGATTTAATAATAGATCTATAAGGTAAGAGATAAAGGCCTTTGAACCCCATCAAGAGTAGCCTGCAAAAACGAAACACACCTAAAGGGCGCGCGGTAGACCCGACCTACTGAAGCCAGAAGATGATTGGTGGAAAAGAATTACGAATATAGATAAATAGTTAAAACAAAATTTGTCTTAAAAATATAATTCAAAGAAAGGTTTTTTTAACAAACGTATAAAAATCTTAAATAAACATATTTTTATGGTTAAAATATTTTTTGGGGATTGAAATAATTGTTGGAGTAGAATAATCGTATGTTGATAATAGAATGTATGTAATAGTATGTATTTAAGTATAAAATAGTACATATACTGAGAGGCTACAAATCTTGCCGAAAAAATTGTTTACACTTAACATAAAATTGACTCTTCTAAAAGGAGTATGTTAGAGGGAATATATGATTTAGTCTTACCAGGAAGCGAAAGAGGATTACCTAAATGTAAAATCTGCTGTATTGTATAAATAAGACCCCTCGCCATCCTTTAACCAGGTGAACACAAGCTAAGCTTTTATCTTTTATGTGACAGATATACTTAAAGCAAGAATACTTAATTTAGGAAACTGGCCTTAATACAGTAAACCAAGGCAGACTGAATTTGTAAAGCTATTTACTTATTATATTCAATTTAGCGAGCATACTTAGGAATCATACTATTTACTTGGCTACTTCGCGATTACCCTACATGCTTGCATATTATTGAAGTAAATTAATTTAAGAGAAGTGAGTATGGGCGCAGATCTTTTACATTAATATATTGTGTACTATATCTATACAATATTCAAGACATTTGAGTTGTAACAACCATGACCAAACTCAAGGATTTTAAAACCTTATCTTGATTTGCAGTTTTTCCGGCTTACAGTTTCTCTTCATTTCTTTAAGACTATTCAACAGCCACAAATACATCATATTTAAGTTTCTGCAATTTTATTCAGGATGTTGGTCGTTTTGTGTATTCATATTGAGTCTATAATAATACTCTTAGATATAAAGTCACCATAACCTCCACAAGGCTGTATCTTAGACCATTATGCTGAGTGCTCTGCATAATAAAAAGTTTCAGCGAGTCCGGATTTTTCCACCAATAAAACTTTACAGGCGGTGCTATGTTCTGATACTTTGCTCTGAATTGGTCAGTGGGTCTATCCTACATAGTGATTACCATATAAGCAAAAAACTTAATAGACTCTGATCTATAAATCAGGAATGAGAAAAGCGTTAGTTCCTCTTTATGCATTATTTTGCTTCTACAGTTCCTCAGAAGTTAATCTAGCCTTTTCGCAGGCTAACGGAAGGGCCAAAGCTAGAACATAATAGAGTTAATCTGCCAAATCCATAATTTCCATTTTTATCTTCATAAGTATTGGAATGTGATTATTTATTAATATAAGTGGATAATTATTCTAAATTAATATACCCACTAAACATCGGATGTCCTAACCCCAGTTAATTATTTTCGCTACACGCACACTCCTTATTATCGCGCTGATATTTCTTACTCTGACTCCAT